AAATCCAAAAAGAAATTAGGGTTTCACTTCAACCCAAATCGAGATCAAATCCAAAAAGAAATTAGGGTTTCGCTTCAACCCAAATCGAGATCAAATCCAGTCGATCTCCTCTCCCATCCGGTTTCTATTTTCATTTCGATCTCCCTCCTTTCCAGTTCTTTCCCTCGATTTCGTCCATGTGATTCGTCGCTGGTTGCTACCACTTGGTTCGCTCCTCATATCTGGTTTCAGAGAAGACGGCACCTTTCTGGATAAGGATTTGATGGCGACCGGCGAAGCTGTGGAGGTGACCGGCGATGGCGATGGCGACCGGCGATGGTGACCGGTAGTAGCTGTGGAGGTGACCGGCGAAGCTGGCGATGGTGGCCGGTAGTTCTGCTGCGTGAAGAGACGAGATGGGAAGAAGGGGGTGGGAAGGGTAAAATTGGAAAAAGAACGGTCTTAATGGTTGAGTGAGGTAGTAGATGCAAAATGGTTAAGAGGTTATTGTAACCATTAAGAGGGTTGTTTTTTTTGCCAAACAGACCTAACCTCTTACCAACAAACAGCCCCTAAGGAGGTTTCTAATTAGAATTTCATGACCATGTTAAGTCGTGAGAAGCTAGCAAACACCTGAATGAAGGTATATCTATCGAGCGTGTTGGGATGGAGATCAACTAAAACGCTATGAGTTGCGCGTTCTTTCTGTATTTGGTCGATCAACTTTTAGGAGACGTAAATTATGTATAACAACTAGGGGTGCTCATGGGTTGGGTTGATCGGGTTGAAGACATTTGAACAACCCAACTCAATGCTTGTGCTTTGAAAAATCTTAACTCAACCTAACCTAAAGTGCAACCCAACCCAACCCGTACGGGTTGGTCGGGTTGATACTTTGATACATTAAACTATTCTTCTAACCTTGAATATGTTATTTTTCTACTCATAATTTCTTTTTATCATCAACCATTTCATACTTCTTACGTATGTTCATAGTTACTGAATATATATAGAATGAGTTATATAGAGATTGAATAGATTGAAAATATGTGTATATGAAGAGCATGCGTGATAGTGTAACTGTCTAATGTATATATTAATAGAAATTTAACGATCATATTAAATTCAAGAAATAAAAGGATATCGGGTTTATCGAGTTAGGTTGGGTTCAAATAATAGCAACTCAATATCAACTCAATACCTACGGTTTGAAAATTTTACAACTCGATTAGACATCGGGTTGCTTCGGGTCGAGTTATTTTCCGTTGGGTTGGGTTGGTCGGATTTTTAAGCACCCCTAATAACAACTTTTAAACCTGTGCCGGAAATGCAGGAACAGGGGATGCTGAAGAAGAAGTTGAGTTGATGAATCCAAGATCCATGGCAACAACAGTTGGTTATCGAATACAGTGTGCAAAGTTTATGATTCTTTCGTTTCCAACAACGAGACTTGTTCCATTCATGTGTCTTCCTTAGAATAATCGTTTAATATCGTTATGCTATATAATACATTTAAGAATGCGTTTAATAAAATTTTGCATGTTTTTATTCGATTTTTGACAGATAGAAAAGTTGTTTCTATTTTTTATTTGTGTGCGTTATTTTTGTGATTTCCCCTCATTAGAACATGTTTAGTAAACTTTACTAGTTCTTTTTTCATTTCCATACGTTAAAAAAGAATTACTTTGTTACCTATGTTAAAAACAATATATTATTCATATAATTTACTATGACCCTCCGATTATTAAATGTTACAAGAACTATAAGGGTGGTGTCTGATTGATTTGAAATTAGGCTTAAAGGTCAAAAGTATCTGGAGGAACAAAAATCCTCTTATCATTAAGGAAGAACAAAAATCCCCTTATCATTATGGAGGTTCAAATACATTGACTTCAGGCTACCCATAAAGCAGATGGTTGTCTGGAATTAGTCAGAACGAGTTAGATATCTAAGTTAATAAAAAAATGTTATAAAAATTACGTGATAAAATTAAAAACTCCAGCATCAATTGAAAAAATATAATTTTTTTTAGTTTATTACATTTCAATCCATTTATATTTGTTTAAAAAAAAACTTCATTTTTATCATATAAAAAGATTTTAACTTAGAAAAAAAAAACTTTACTGGTATAAGCAATTTCTGGAATGCGACTGTGTTGCAGATTATCCTTCCTCCCAACCGCCATGTTTTCATACCAATCCCTTTCCCTCCTACCACCGAAAACCATATTATCCGCCGCCGCATCCCTCACCGCCTCCGCCCTCCTCCTTCGAACCATCGCCGACGACCTCATTCCCGCCGACATCCATCACTACTTCCGAAACCTCTTCAACCGCCTCTCCACCCAACTCACCGTCGTCATTCAAGAATCCGATGGCCTCACCCCCAACCACCTCTTCCAATCCGCCAATCTCTTCTTGGCCACCAAGTTATCTCCCACCACTCTCAGAATCAAAATCCATAAACCCGAAAAAGACGACCAATTCACCGTCACAGTCGATCGCAACCAACCCATCGTCGACGTCTTCCAAACCATCCAATGCAAATGGATTTTGCAAACCGAATCGATCGAGGTACGCGGTAATCGGGACTCGAATTCTCGATCCGAACTTCGGTTTTTCGAGCTGAGTTTTCACAAGAAACATAAGGAAACGATTTTGAACAAATACCTGCCTTATGTAGTAAAAAAAGCCAAGGAGATTAAGGAGGAAAACAAGACGGTAAAATTGCATACGGTGGATTATAGCGGAACCGATTACTGGAGCTCGGTGGTTTTGAACCACCCGGCTACATTTGAAACCATGGCTATGGATGTAGAAAAGAAAGAAGAGCTTATGGAGGATGTTGATATGTTCATTAAGAGGAAAGATTATTATAGGAGGGTAGGGAAGGCATGGAAACGAGGGTATTTGTTTTACGGACCACCTGGGACCGGGAAGTCGAGTTTGGTTGCAGCCATGGCTAACCGACTCAAGTTCGACATCTATGACTTGGACTTGAGGGAGGTGCAATGCAATTCTGATCTCAGGAGATTATTGATTGGCACAAAGAGTCGATCTATACTTGTGATCGAGGACATTGATTGCAACATAGGGTTGCAAAGTCGAGAATTCAACAAGGAAACCGCAAATACGGATGACGATAAGGTACGAGTATTGCCATTTTTGGCAACCACAAGGTCACTTTTTGAATAAGTCATTCATAAACTAGTTTTTTGAAAAGCTACCCACACCGCTTATTTTTCCATTTTTTCCAATTATACCCCTCATTTTATATTTATCGACTAACTATTCAGCTAACAGCTAACTTATCAGGTAGTCTTACCCTACATAGTCAATAGCTACCATTTCAGTGCCACAGAACCTGCATTGATCGTGGCTACATTGATGGTTAATATGATATATATGCTTATGCTTTGTTTGCATTGGGTGGCCAGATAACTTTATCAGGGCTACTCAACTTCATCGATGGGCTGTGGTCGAGTTGTGGGGATGAACGAATCATAGTGTTCACAACAAATCACAAGGACCGTTTGGACCCAGCATTGCTGCGGCCAGGTCGCATGGATGTGCACCTACAGATGTCTTATTGTGCATATGGTGGATTCAAGATACTTGCATCTACCTATCTACAAGTTAAAGAGGAGGAACAGTTGGGTTTATTTCGAAGGATCAAAGAGCTGTTAAACAAGGTTCAAGTGACACCTGCTGAGATTGCAGGAGAGCTAATGAAGAAGGGTGAGGATGTCGAAATCGTCCTTTCAAACCTCATTCGATGGCTCGAAATGAAGGAAGCAGAGATTATGACTGCTAAATCACCATCTGTGCATCATTAAGATCGTAGGGGTTAATGGGTTTTATATGTTTGTGATTTTTTGGATGATTATACGTTGATGGAACCTATTTGTAGAGTACAGCAGTTATACAGCAGTTGATTGTTGCAATGACATCAATATGGAATCAGAGCCTTTTGATCACACTAGTGTTCTTATTAATCTGTTGTAGGAGCTGAATTGATTTCGTTTTTGGTACTGAGTGTGATCTTAACAATCAATCTGTTGTGGGAGTTGGATTGCTTCCGATTTAAAATCTACTTGAACTCTTCTTAGCCCGTATGGTCTATGTCCGGTTTGAGAACAGCATGCTCACACACCTCAATACTGATAGACCCCTATTGTATTGGAATTAGGCGTAAGCATCTTTCTAGCCTGCATATTCGTGGAACTCAATCTCATTTAGAAAGCCTTATCTCTATCTTTCAGCAACTGAACGGGAAGTGGTGTAGGAAAGGACTTTAGAATCAGATGCGCTCGCCCAGCGAGAAAGGCCCTGAGTTCCCCTCGCCGGCAAGCACCTAGCTGGCGAGCACTTGCTACCTCAGCTAGGTAGTCTCCTAACTATGAGACCCCGCCCCGTCTGTCTTGTGTTCAACGAAGGAAAGCGCCCTTCTTCAGCGATGAACAGATCACTCCTAAAAGCAACCGTTCTCTTAACGAGGAGGCCATAGAGAAAGTCTTTTTTAGAATCAGAATTTGTTTTCTTTGGTTTGTATTGTTGAATCGAAAGCTGTAAAACTTTTCTCAACCCCTATTCCTGACTTGAACAGAAGCTTCAGCTACTTGAAGAGTCCACGAGTAAGTCAGTTTGGGGGACCGAAGGCAGTTCTCCGTGGACCGGACACGTAGCTTACTGAATCAGTTGTTCCATTTTTCTTTCGTTAGTTAAGCCACCTTTTTCTCCCGATCAATTATATTCTTGGATGAGCAGAACATCTTTGAGACAAATCATCTCCACCCGGGTACATAGCTTCATCCAAACCATGGATCCATTGTTCTTTGGCCTTGACTTTCCCCATCCCCCCTCTTTCTTAGAATTCAACATCAGAGCAGGAGGAGCTGGTGTCTGGATCTCCAGCCCCATCTGTGCGCTTTCCGACCAGGTTACTATCGAACAACTTTTAAATCCGCCTGCCTTAGACTATTCCTTGAGAAAGTGATTGTCGCATACCGGCCTACCCTAGCAATACGATTCACATGCGACCCTCATATTAATACGACCAATCTCTTCAAGGTTAAAGATAACTTTCCTATCTTTTAATACCATCAAGAATCATTCCAAATGAATACGCATAACTATTTTCACACAAATTTATGGAAGCTAATTCTATTAGATAATACCCAATCATAGCTAACACTATGTTTCTTACTAGCAAGATAAACAAGACTCCAGTCACCTTGTTACCTTTTTCTACTTTCTCACAGGAGGAAATTGGTTATTTAGCTAAATGACCTTTATTTTAAATTAATGACCTTCTAATAGGTTCCTAGACGATCTTGTGTTTAGAAAAGAGGTTTCCGAAAAACCCCGAGTATGAAACCATTTTTCTTTTAATAGGTCAGGAAGTCATGAATTCAACTAAAATTGGGCTTACTTCATGCATCCATGTTGGGTTTGAGTTTATGTGCTTAGTTTTGTATTCAATCTTAGTTTCTTCATTGTAATTTTTGTATTATAAGTTCCTACTATAAATAGTTCTCGTCTTTGTAATCTTGTTACAACACTTTCACTTTCTAATCATTTTTTGTAAGTATACTTTGAAGATCAATATACAAGTTTGAAGATTCTCTCTCAATCTCTACTACTTTCAAGATTCATATTTTGCCATTTTAATGTTTTTGATCTTATATGAAGATTGGTTAATCAAACTAGGATTAACAATTGGTATCAGAGCAAGTTGCAGCGACTTAAACGAATTCAGAAACAAGATTTGGATTGAATTTTGGACTGTTCTTGAGTGATCATTTGAATGTTCTTGACTGTTCCTTTACTTTCTACTCAAATTCATCAATATTTGTGTGAATTGATATGTATATGTGTATGTTTTGTGTTAAAGACATACCAGTTTCATTCAATTGCATAATTGATTAGTTTTGTTGATTCAATTTTAGATTTTGAGTATTGAAGTTCTTGAAACTGTTCTTGAATAATTTTGTCAATTTGGCGTATTTTGATATTTTTTTTATTAAAATTGGCATAAAGTTCTTGTTTGTGATAAGATTTCGAGTTAATCTGTGCTTAATTCATCCAAATTGGGTTTGTTTTGAGCATTTTTGGTTCATAATCTGATTTTTTCTACACTGCTACATCTTCATCGTCCGATGAAGAAATTCATCAAGCGATAAGAGGTCTCTCATCGGCTGTTGAATGTACTTGTCCGATAACTTTGTTATCCGGATAACATTGTGTCCGGATTATGGGTATCCGGAGAAGTGTGTTGCTCGATAAGCTTTTGTTTTCATTGTATCCAGATAACTTTGTGTCCGGAGAACATAGTATCCGGAGAGTTCCTTATCTGGATAAATTTTTTGTGAATTTTGTGAAGTCTTGTCCGGTGAGGCTATTTTTTTTTTTCTAAGAGAAATGGGGTACTTCATTTTCTAAAGTAATTTTTTTTCTTGGGACGCTGCCCCTTGACCCCACCCACTAACCGGGTAGCGGGACCCCGTGCTAAGTTGTAGAAGGGGAACATTGTTTTTTTTAGATTTTAAATTCAATCCTTGTCTATTTTCTAAGAAAGAACATTTTTTTAAGTCTTAGATTGGTTTTGAGTGAATTTGTTTTTAAAGTCTTGAACTGCAAAGATCATTTTTGATTAATCAATTTTTGTGTAAATTTTTCAAATGGCTTTAAGTGTTGAGAGAGAGAGAGAGTAAAGATTTGTGAACTAGAAAAGAAATATAAGTTGGAACAAGACAAATATCTTAAAATGTCTTATGAAAATCATTCAAATCTTTCATGGGCTAAAAATTTATTAAGAGATAATGAAAGGGTTTATGAAGAAAATAAATTCTTACAAGAACATATTGATAAATTCATGTGTAAAGGTTTTTCTTCTAATTTACAGGAAATGAATGTGAAGCAGATTAAAGAAAATAATGAGTTGGCAAAGAGAGTTTATGAAGCTGAGATTGAATTGACTTCTGGAAGAAGATTATTTGAGAAAGAAAAGGAAAGGATTACTGAAGGTGTGAATTCTGATAAAAATAAATTTGAAAAGAAAAGGCAAAGGTTTGCTGAAACTGAAAAGATTTTTTGTGATGAAAAGAATATTCTCGACAGTAAAATCAAAGTACTTGAGCTGAACAATGCAAAACTGTCAGATTTTTTTTTTTGAATTTAAACAGATTATCATTTTGGAAAGAGCCAAGTTTGATAATGAGAAGAAAAGATTACTTGAAAGACTCAGAAAAGAAATGTCTAGAAATATCCAAAAACATTGTTGCAAAGTAGAAAGCTTTAGAGGAAGAGAGAAAAGCTTTTGCATTGGAGAAGAAGAATATTGCTAAAAGGAATGCAGCAATTGCCAAATAACTTGTTGAGAAAAAAGAAATGGCTGGATATTGCTTCAAGACAATGATAAAGGTTGTTTTGAGGAAGAAAAGAAAGAAATAGAAAAGGAAAAAAAGACTTTGAGAAGAAAATAGTTGTTTTAGAAAGTAAGAAACTTCAAAAAAATTGTCTGATTTAAAGACAGACCTTGTAACTGAGATAAATATGAGATCTAAACTTAAAAAGCAATATGATTTAGTTACTGAAGAAAGTGATCAGTTATTAAAGAAAATAAAAGAATTTTCTGAATCAAGCATTGAAAACTCAACTGTTTCTCAATCTAAGTGTAAAATTTGCTTGAATGACTGTTCTAGTGTTAAATCCAACAGTTATTCAAGTAGCCCTAAATCAACTGTTTCAAAGAACAAGTCTCGTAATACAAATCAGTTTTACAAAGGTTATGTAATTGAATCAGATAATAATTTTTCAAAAGTAAAAAAGGTTTAGGTGAATAAAGTTGAATCTGTTAACGCTCATAAGTCTGTTGATAATAAGAAATCATTTGTAACCAATAATGTTTTACCTTGCATTGTGAAGTCTACTAATCAGTTGATCAATCTTAGCAAGAGAAGAAATCGATGCTCAACTTGTGGAACAAATGATTTCATCAAGAAGAAGAAGGTCAACATATGGTATAACAACAACTAGTATGAAAACAGTTGGAATGGAAATACCATATATGAGAACAACTGGTATGAGAATAACAGGTATAATAATGATTGGTATGATTCTTATTGCATATCCAATTTACCTATTAAAAGAACCAAAAAGAATTTTTTTTGATAAGAATAGATGGTATGGCACTTATAACATTCCTGAAACCAGTACTAACAAAGTAAGACCCATGTTTGTTTGGGTATCAAAATCTACTTAATCTGTTTTGCAGGTGTTTCATATGTTGTGTCGATGTCAAACATTTATTCATATGATACACTGATGCAAGGGGAGTGTGTGATTTGTCGGAGTATAGTTTCTAAACACCCAGTTTAGGACCTGGTCTTTAACACAACTTCTAAACAATTCAGTTCAGAATCTGAGCTAACTCTAAAGGAGATTAAAGTTTTATCTGTTTGAATATAAAATCCATTTTCTAGGGGGAGTGTCGAAAAATATTTTTTTTAAATCTGAGCCGACTCAAAACGAGTATCATTTCTAATCAGGTATTTCTTTGAGATTTTACTTGTGTATTTTCTCTTCATACATATTTCCAATATATGTTTCGGTTATTCTTCAAATTGTTATTATTACGTCTTTAATATGAAAATCATTTTCGTTGATAATACACTCGTTTGTATTCAAAGTTGTTTTTTGAGTTTATCTGAAATATAATTCTTTAATTGATACACATTTCTAAATTCTTTGAATCTTTATCTGTAAACTTGTTCTTACAGATCTTCATTCATTTCTTTCAATTTTTCTTGAATAATCTATTTTGTATATCACTCCTGGTTAATTGTTCATGTGATTAGTTGTTACATTTTTCTTGATCAATTCTCATCTGATCGAGTGTGCATCATTGTAATAATATTTTTCATCAATCATTTGTAATCAAATGAGCTTACATTGTTATTTTCAGGAAGGACTAAGAGCTTAACAGAAATACCTCTATGGACTGTCAGAACCAATAGCCCTACCCAATAGGACATCCATATTTGAGTGAGCTTAAATGCAAAATGGGTTTGTGTACAGAGCTTAAAATGTAAATGAGAAGGGTAGTTGAAGTGAGCTAAAAGAATTGATGAGAGTTGTGACCAGGATTAAAAGATTAAAAGAATCCTGATCTATCCAATATAATCCGGGCAAACCACACAATCTATTAGTTCTCATTTCTTTCGAAGTTAATATTGAAAAAGGCAAACTCAGGCCAACACTTGTCATAACCCCACCAACTACTCATTTATCTCTCAAAAGATAATTGTTTCAATAACACTTGGGGCACGCAGCTCATAATCTATCGGTTTTTCATTTGGAGATAATTAATATTGAAAAAGAAAGATATATGTCCCCCCTTCAAGTCTTGTTGATCACAAATTGAGTCTTATAAATTTGTGTAGTCCACACTGTTTATCTTTTTGAGCCTAATTTGAAACATTAGTTGCTTTATCATTTCTTCGCTGCACAAATTTACAGAATATTTGTTATTCTATCATAACATTCATAGATATTCTTCTTGAAGCTATTATTGATTGAATGGAAGTCCTGGTGAAATGAATATCAAAAAGCCTCATATATCAAGTGCATTCGTTGTCCTGAATATATTAGTTATATTCACCGGCCAAATTTTTTTCTAAAAGATTGAAAACAGGTTCATAAGTTGAATCTGGTTTTTTCCCTCACCTTCATAATCTGAAAAGATTATTTAAGTGAATTTGAAAATATTTGCTTATTTCAAAGTTCATTCATTTTGAAGTATGATGTAAATGCTTCTCATTTTCATCATAAGGGGGAGTTTATATTGAATGAAGATTTTCTGAGTCAATTTCTGAAAATTGGGGAAGGTGTCAAAGTTTCAAAGGAGTTGATCAATATGTGTTGTTGAAGTTTATTGTGCTGCAATATTCAAGGGGGAGTAAATGTGAAGATCATTTCCTTAAAGAAGTTTACTGTTTCTTAAAGGAGGAGATCCTCCAAATGTTGAATCCTTATCAGTTTAAGGGGAAGATAAAGTTTTTCTGAAGATGATCAAAGGAAGAGATTATCTAAATATTGTTAATAAAAGAGGAAGATTTTTTTTGTGCTGAAAAGTTTTCCTTATCAAATTCAAAGGAAGTTATTTGGGAAGATTGTTAAAGATGAAAGTTGCTAAGAATCAAAGTTTCTAAAGTTTTCTGAAGATTGTTGTTGTTTTGATCTTGAATCCAAAGAGGGAGATTGTTTGAAGATTGTTAAAGTTTTGAAGATCTAAAGTTGCTAAAAGATTCAGAAGATCAAAATTTACAATGTCTCAAGCTTGAATCCAAAGAGGGAGAATGTTGGGTTTGAGTTTATGTGCTTAGTATTGTATTCAATCTTAGTTTCTTCATTGTAATTTTGTATTGTAGTTTCCTACTATAAATAGTTCTTGTCTTTGTAATCTTGTAACAACACTTTCACTTTCTAATCATTTTTGTAAGTACACTTTGAAGATTAATATACAAGTTTGAAGATTCTCTCTCAATCTCTACTACTTTCAAGATTCATATTTTGTCATTTTAGTGTTATTGATCTTGTCTGAAGATTGGTTAATCAAACTGCGATTAACAACCCATCAATGATATTAGTCAGCATAGAAAATTAATATAACTGACCTCAAAAACTTCCTTCAACTTCATCTTTTTGCCGTAGTCATTTCCACAAACTGCTTTCTGAAAGAAACCATAATCGACTGGAATATATCTGCATTTTAGCAAACGATCAATAGCATTTTGAAATTTACAACAAACAGGAAATTGTTCACGATGACATTTCTTAGCAGATTCATATCTGAAAAGTTTCCGCGAGTAAATTGGAATTAATGGAACAAACTACACATTTAGTGGTCAAGTCAAGAAGATTGAACATATGAGATTAAATTCTTATAGATGCTCATGTTTTATAGATTCCTGATCAAGAGTTTAATTTCAGAAGAGTCGAGGAAATTATGCAGACCAAACATGTCATGCAAAGCATGATTCAAAAATGAGTATCAACTTCAAGGACATATGGTCAGAGTTCAAATATTGGTGAATGATTATACCGCTAGTTCAATAGGGTCCCAAACACATCTTCGTTGAACAACAGCTGCAAATGTTCTACCAAGTTAAATTACAATAACATCAAGACTCCAATTATGCAATCCATGAATTTACCCTCCAACCCACTCTCTTCTTGAAGTCGAATGCAACTATTTAATCTATTTATTTGACTAACCGTAGGTGTTTGGGCCAACTTGTGCACACGTAGACTAATCTGATGGGGGGCCTGAAGTTAGTCAAGCAAACTAGAGGTCTTACTAGTTGAGGTACCCCCAGGGTTAATAAAGAAACTTGGGAAGAAGAAGCTTGGCATAAACCATATATGCAATTTTAACCCTACAAGTAGCATATTCCTGATTTTGCTATCTAGTTCATTACTTAATTATCTGAAGTCAACAATTCATCAAGGTTCAGCTATGTTTCTCTTGGTCAAACGAAATAACTACTTGGTCATGATGCCATATATGATGCACATGTTTGGGATCTCGAAGAATCATACTCTGAACCACTGATTTAGAGCATATATGCATCAAATTTTAACAACCAAGTTAAAACAATCAAAGGATGGATCACACCGACTCTTGTGATCTGGTTAAAAATTGACAAAATATATATCTGCAAGAGCCACTTGTAGAACTATGTTAAATGGAAGATGATGGTGCTTTGATTAGTTAAACAGTCGTTATTTGCATTTTGAAGCTTCTGAATACCAATGTCACAAGGTAACATTTTTTTATACATGTACTCGGCAACAAAAGTGCAGCGCTCAGCTGGTCCAATCAAATGCTTCTTTTACCACTTCCTACTCACCACAAAGAAATTATCTACTTCACAATGTGACTGCTGAGAAGAACAGTAAAGTTTTCTAGTACCTCCAATGATACAATATATCTAAAGCTTTTAATTGGCAACCGCAGAGTTGCTGAAATAAAAAGGGTTAGAACAGAAGTACTGTTTCTTCTTTTAAGTTTTATCTACTTAGGGTTCTTTTCTCTCTCATATTAATACTCTACTAACTGTCTAAAACTACTATCATATGACCTTTAATATATCTTAAAACATTTTGTTAAATGTTTGCTGCAAAATGTAGCCCTGCAACTCATAAATACCTGGTAGACATGGTATAGAGTGTTTACTAACCACTTATTATAAGAGGCTCTCTTACCAGATAGCAATCAGTCAGCAACTATCTCCATTCTTATCGCAGTAAGAGGATATGATCCTGATTTTTTTTCCCATTTTATCCTCCGATCCTCCTATTTCAATTGCATTCCTCATCGTTTCAACATCAATCGTCCCTATTACAGAAGCAATAGAGACTGCAGAACTCATCTGTTTCAATCGCATTCCTCATTTTCTCGTTGTTTCCTCTGTTTGTCGTCTGCCTCACCCTAATCAGTCTCCATCTACAATTTCAGGTATGTGTACCATTCGTTTATATCCAAGGGATTCAAGATTAGGGTTTTTATTTGATGAATGATGATTTGTTTAGGGCTTCTTTGTGTTTTTGGTTGATTAATTGTTATTGTGCTTATCTATGGAGTACCGTATCTGCATTTGCTATGGGAATTTGTTGAAGTTGCTTTGTAGACCTTCCTGTCTCCAATGTTCACAGGGATTTGGTGGTTGTAATTGTTTTATCCTATTATTAGTTTTCTATGTGTCTTGTTCTTTGTATGGAAGATACTATTTTACTAAATGGTGAGGGCAAATATTAGCAAACATTTTCCAAAGAGCTCTTAAGAATGTTGTTCTCAGTCGGACCACAGGAAATATTAGCAAATTTGCTGGTCAAGGCATAAGCATTGAGATCATCAGAACCTTCACCGTATAAAGGTTGATTTAGCAAATTCAAGTTGTTTTCACTCTCAACTTGCACATAACAAAATATTAAGTTCAAATTTACCTTCAAGGTGGTAAATTCATATATGTTTTCCATAAGCATCGCTATAGCAAGGCATATATCTTCTCTAAGAAAACTAAGTTTGACTTGGTCTGACCTCTGTTAACAGCTCCGTGTCGATGGCATGAAGATCAAGTAACCCAGGGCTAAATTATTGAGTGACACTTCCTCCCCATTACCATACTTCGTAAAGCTTGATGAACGTGAACAAGCTGAAGGATTCAATGCATCTGCATTCCCTCCAGCATTAGTAATTCTCTGTGAATTCCTGTTCAGCCTTGAACCCTCAACATCGTTATTGCCATAAAACCCAATATCCTGCACCCAATTCAGTCACTGGTCAAGATATTATCCAAGAACAATTCCTTCTCTTTCTTGGCAGCTAGGATTTATATTGAAATTTCAATCAAATTACATATTTACTTAACAACTCATTACATTCCTGCTCCTAGAACATAACCAATGTTTTGTAAAGAAAATGTATAATTTTCAAAGCTCATTTACTAACCATAGGGATTTCAATTGGCGAACAATGAACATGAAGGAACAATGTTTTTTTGCTAGACATGTGATACCAAAAACTTATCCCTAATCTGCAGCTCTTGGTTTTAAAAAGCGCGATGCGGTCCGAGGCGGTAAGGGTCCCGGAAGCCGATGCGTGATGCGTGATGCTGATGCTCTCGCATCAAGCACGTGATGTGCCCGGTATTCAAAAATATTTATAAATTAATTTTACATATCAATTTCTACCTTAAAAATACTTACCTATCAAAATACTTCATTTATAACATAAAGTAGTTCAAAAAGTGGCATTAGAATCTTAAAAAGTTCGTGAATCAGAATAACAGAACACACARACTACTACCATGAAGAACACAAGTAAATGTCTAATAGTCCCCAGTCTCTAAACTAAATGACCAAGTGACCAACTAATACTCCCCAAGATCAGCATTATCAAACTCGAACAAGGGTTCATCTCCCTCATCATTATCAAACCCTCCAATATCTGCTTCCACCTCAACTTCATCTATTTGTGGCTGTCGGCTTCTTCTATTAGTGGCTGTCGGCTTCTTCTATTAGGTCACATTCAGTCTCACAGTCTCACGTTCTATTTTAATCAACTAAAAACTGAAAAAGGGAGCCCAAACATGAAACATACAGGATGCGCTGATGCGTAGGTGATGCATGCATCGTGTGATGCGTAGGTGATGCGAGCGCATCATGGAATCGCAACGCATCAGCCCATCTGATGTGTTTCCTCTAGCGCATCACGCATCCGAGCGCATTATGCGCGCATTTTTAAACCAAGCTGCAGCTTATTTCAATATGATCCCTTAATCTTGCATTGCATCACACCATCATCATTTTATGACGCCTTAATTACCAGCAATAATAGTTGCAAGAACTGAAAAAACCAAATGCAGTATTTGTTTGGGTCAAAAGTTTTCTTACATACATGATTGCTGCTGGGATTCTTATTATATCTTGTGAATTTCAATAATGCATTCAAAAAAGAAAGGCTTGGCTCCTATTACACAAAGAAACCCAGACAGAAAATGGATAAGACAAGAAAATTATCATCCTAACAACTTATCTGTTGTAACCGCTTTCTATAGTCCATATCAGGCTCTATACTATTTCTGTTTTGGGGATTTGGATAGGAGCAATACACAATTCCTCATGCTGCTGGTTTATATTGAAATGATAGGCTGAGTAGTCTAGTAACAATCATCTAAAGTGCCCAAAGTCCAGCTGTTATTAGATTTGAAAGATCGTCTCGAAACCGTTTCACATAATCACCGAGATTCGCCTTTCATATCGTAGTTGGGATTTTGATCTGAATAAAACTCATGACTAACCTAATCTACAATCTTTCATTTTTTCTGCAAAACCATTTTACATGATCTAATCGGTGATGCAAAGGGAGATGTTAATCATCAAGTTTATGTGCTGTCCATAATTGTTATTTCCATAATCTTTGTAGACTAGTTGATATTGATGCTCTTTCATGCTTGGGTTTCTTTATATTTTTGTTGATTTCATCACTAGAGCAATTACATTTTTATGTTAATCTTTTATGAAGAAGTAACAATTTAACCTATGAACTTCAGAACACCTTTCCGATAGTTGGCCTATACTTGATATATTTGTTTTCATATTCAGCAAACAATAGATATTGGAGATAATTAACAATGCCCCATTTTTCAAACAAATAAGAATTTTACATCTTTGTTCCTTTGGTGTCTCCAAAAGTGACATTCCTACTTAACTGATTCACCAAGCTCTACAAGTAGAGAATGGCAGGGGAATAACACAATGGAAAAGTTCTATAGGGAAAGTAATAAAGCTCTCTTTGCACTCTTTTGGTATTTGCAGCACTAAAAGAATTCCCTAGCTCTTGGTTATGGAATTTTGTTGTATTTATAGTTGTTAGCCTTATCTTTCCACTGCATTCTGAAATTTCTGCATTGATTCTTCGATGTAATGAGCTTCACTTGCAAGACCGTGCACCTTTTAACTAATCCTGATATGATGGTTAATGTTTTAGATATGACAAATTTTGGCGAATCTTCACAATCAAAAAAGACGAGAGTTAACTAGAAAAAAGAAAATGTGGTGAAAACATTTATCGAGTCTTGTTTGCATGAGATCTCCGTAAATGGAGGAGAAGGGGGTAGCCTTAAGGCAGTTTCTTGAAAGAATGTAGCAGAAGTGCTACAAAAAAATCATAATTTTGTTGTTGAACGACGACAAATGAAAAACCATTATGATTACCTCAAACGAAAGTATGGAGCATGGGCAAAGTTAAGAAACAAGACGGGTAATGTTTATGATGCATCAACAAACATGTTTAATCTGTCAGAAGAGGAATGACAAATAGAAATGAAGGTCACATTTTATCTTTTTCTATCAAGATTATTTTCTTAAATTCTTCTTTTACATATACTTATAAATCTTCTATAAACAGCAAAACAAATTTGTCGAGAAGTTGCGAACTGCACCTCTTCCCTTTCCTCAACTTTGTATTCAATTGTTTGATGGCGTGGCTTCCACCGTTGTTGGAACTTGGGGACCAACTGCTATTGTTCCAAACCCTTCTAGTGGGACTCCTGAAATTGGTGAAGATTATGACACACAAGACTATTATGATCTAACCCAAGAACCACTTCCTTCGGAAGAAGAAATTGTTTTTCGTCCTCAACCTCAAAGGAAAAAACAAAGAGGAAAACAACGTTCGGTAAATGAGGATGATTTAGCAAAGGTTGTGACACATGTTAAACAGATCTTGAACAAACCACCGGGGGAGGATGAGATGGATCATTGCATTGATAAGTTGGAAACACTTGGGTAGGAGCAAACTGCATTGTATGACATAGCACTTTACATATTCAGCCAAAAGCACTGATTATAGGAAAATTTGGTTACGCTTGAGCAAGGAGAGGTGTGAGGGATAGGTTAAATTTACAGATGGTAAGCTTAGTCTATTTTAGTTTAGTGATGTTTTTGTTTTGTTTTGAACAATCTTTTATATACGATTTTTTTTGGATAGTCTTATGATTGATATAATATGAATAAATGGCTACTTCAATTTGACGGAATGTTTGTTTCAAGTTGATGTTTTTCATTTTTTTTGTATTAGATGTTTAAACTTGTTGTTATATTTATGATATCTTTGAAGCATAAGGTGATGTCATTTTGTGTTTTATATATGCAAGGTCATACATGGATGAAAATGAAATTATTATGATTGTGCTTATTATACATTGGTATTTGAGAAGAGCTTCAACACGAATAGAAAGGGTGAGAGATAACACTTCAGTTCTCACTAGACATGCGTATACACAAGAATTATTAAGTGGATCCACTACGCTATGTCATGAATTGATGTGTTCATCTCGTGATGCCTTTATAATGCTATGCGACCATATTAAACAAAAAAATTGGTTGCAATCAAGTAGGCAAATAAGTGTTGAAGAGAAGATGGTGATGTTTTTGACAATTGTTGTTCACAATGAACGCTCTAGAATGGTTAAACGTAGATTTCAACACTCTACACGGACTATTCATAATTGTTTACATGAAGTATTGAGAGGAATGATGGAATTCACGAAAGAGGTAGTAAGGCCAACATCGATTGACGAAACACCAAACACATCAGAGAGATTTAGGCACCTCAAAAAAAATATTTCCGGTATGATTTATGTTATTGATTTGATAATTTCTAAACATTTTTGATATTTTTTTGCATGTTTCTTATAGTTGATGTTTTTTTAAGGGAACTATAGATGCACTAGATGGAACCCTGATACATGTAGTAGTGCCTAGTGATCAATAAACAAGATATAGATGAAGAGGAAGAGGGGAATGCTACCAAAATATTTTAGCCATTTGTGATTTTAATATGATATTCACGTTTTGTATGGGCTAGATGGGAAGCCATTGCACATGATTCTAGAGTTTTGAGGGAAGTTGCATTTAACCCAACTTCGGGATTTTCGTTTCCTTCATCAAGTAAGTATCATTTTCTTAACATTAAAAGGTTATTATTAATCCATATTTTTTAAGTTGTAGGTGTAATTACAGATGAATATTATCTTTGTGATCTGCATATACTTGTACCCGTGGATTTATGACTCCGTATCGCAATACGAGGTATTAGTTAGCAGATTTTTGACGTAGACATGCATTAACAAAAGAAAAAATGTTCAATCATGCTCATGCACAACTTAGAAATGTAATCGAGCGTGCATATGGTGTCTTAAAAGCAAGACTTCCAATCTTAAAACAAATGGCTCCTTATCCTTTTCCAATACAGAAAGATATGGTGATTTTTTGTTTCGCAATTCATAACTTTATGAGAAAATGCAATATCCAAGACCAATTATTCATGGAACACGATGAGAACACCATGTTTACCATTGCTAAAGAACAACATGAAGGAAGCAATGAAATAGAAGTTGATGAAATGCAATGGAGTTCTCAAGACAATGAATATATGACTAGTTTGCGTGATCAGATTGCAAATCAGTTATTGTCAAATATTTCAAATTAAGATTTGTGCGACAATTATTATGTTTAAATTCAATTTATTTTCATGTCTTAATATATTTCAATTATGAAATCTGTATTTTTGTCATGTCAACAATTATTCATACATAATATTTGGTAAATAGTTGCATTAGTTTAAACACTTCATCACATATAGGGTTATAATGGTCATTTTTTATTAGTCAGCACCAAATCCAGAATACTTGGTAAACAGTTTTTTTACAAACAACACTTACTCCGGTCAGAGATGCTTACTCTAATCAGACCTCTTACTTATTCTTAAAACATTTTGTTAAATGTTTGCTGCAAAATGTAGCCCTGCAACTCATAAATACCTGGTAGACATGGTATGAGTATTGAGTGCCCTGTATCAAGTGAGCCTGATCCTTGCTCAAGTGGTACTTGGGTTCTCTGCTTCTTATATGTATCTGACCTAGGACATATTCTCTAGAGTCATGGACTTTACAGTACCAAAATGTCCTATGACGTGCATAGAATCATAAATTCGTATATTGTAACAACCTGCTTTCTACGGCGCAAACTGACTGCATTACCTTGACAGTAAACAAGAGTTTGACACAATGCTTTACTTTTGTCCTAGTCTGACCATCTTCCTATAAATATACCTTTTTCTCAAATATATATATATATATATAGGGTTGAGTTCCGGTGAGAGCGTAAGAAGAGATCTCCACCCTTGGATCAAAACTTGTTAAATGTCAACACTAATGAGGTGCACCAAGATGCATAGAATTAATTCCTTTCTAAAGCGCAATTGATGGGTGGGCTTGAAATTAAAAGTGATGAAGGGTTCAGATCTCGTTTTACGCTTCTCACCATAACTTCCCTTCTCAGACGATCCTTCGCCTATATATATACGACATGTGTGTATATATACACACATTATAGTATAGGCTGACTGCTTCCAAACAGAGCTAGCTGACATCTCTTGTCTCTTTAAGTTGTAAAACAGAGGGAAAGATACTTACCAGACTCTTCATATTTCTTTTCCTCGTTTCTGCTCATCTCATGTAGTAGAATTCACTTGCAAAAAGCTGAGAAACAACATACAAATCTGTAAAATGATTTGTGCAGTGAGTTCATATAAATAGTCAAAAAGATAGGGCAACTTTACATATTACGAATAAATGAAAATAATTTAAAAACATAACTCTGCCCCTCATACGCCCATAGAAGACACCAGTTTAGCCTATATTTTATGTCCAAAAAGATAAATATATCTGCCTTCAATATGCATGTAAAGGGCTCAAGGTATTTGCCTTGGATGTCTCTAAAGACATCATACCTACCATCTGCCTTCGATAGTTCGATATGTGAAGAAGCTCATCACACATGATACATGCAGATTAACTTCTAAAGTAATAAAATGGACTCATTTGGCTACCATCATCCCTTGAACTCTTATTGAACTTCCCTACAATATAATTAACTTTGAAATCTTATATCACCAGTCAAGTTCTGTTCGAGACTTGAATTGGTTTCCTTGACAACTTGTTATAAATTTTCAATAATATAAATATACTTCTCATCACAACTCACAACTTCCATAAATATCCTCTTCAGCTTGATATGCCAGAACTTATTAAATCTATTGAAAAACTCCATCTTAATTTTTTTCAATACTTCATTGGTTTCCTTGACAACTCGTTATAAATTTAACATAACAAAAATATACTTCTCCTCATCACAACTCACAACCTCCATAAATAACTCTTCGGCTTAATATGCCAGAACTTCTTAAATCTTCATCGAAAACCTCCATTTTATTTTTTTCCAATACTTCATCAAGCATCTAACTTGAACTATTAAGAAAATGACTTATACATAAAATATAACATAATTACTGCACATAAGACAGAGGACAGTCCAATTTACTAAACTAACATAAGGTTACAGTCCCACTTTCAACGTAAGGTTACGATGAGGAGCAAACCTGTTAGGCAATCCAAGCCATAACCTTACCCCTCAAAATAGTCGTATTTTTTGCATTTTAGCAAAGTCCAATCCATCTCACACACAAGGTACTAAATTCACTAGAAAAACTCAGTTTGAAACTATAAATATATGCAATGGCTCAATCCTTTACTACTATTCATACTATAGCATTTTCCTTCCAAATCTATACAAAATTTGAGTTTAACTAACCCAATTGCATCAAACATAAAACTTGATTGCCCAACATACCAAGTCATGTGTTCAACTTCATTTTAGCCTAATTACACCAAACTCTTGTCAATTGAATTCAATTTCATCAAAACCCACTTCAAACCCTAAGCAATAAAGTATCAAGAGACCAAATTTTACCATATGGACCGTATTAAAATTCAAATTAAGGACCACAACACAAAATCTAGGGAGAAAGGGAAATGAAGTTGGAGGATATGGCAAATTGGCAATTATGTATCCAACCACAATGGAAGCACACACTAACTACAAGATTATTTTGCTACCATCTACCTGAAGGTTAATTGAGTAGCCACTAGTCAGAAACTTGACATCAGCATAATATGCAAAGGAAGCCAAGAAAGAAAGAATTGCAGGTGCAAATCAATGGGTATAAGCCCAATAAAAAAAATATCCAGACTATGGCCCTTGAAACATAAATAATGTGCAGTAAAGTTTCATCAAACCTCCAAATATCAACTGCAATCACATTCATGTGAAACTCTAATGTTAATCTTCGGGAATCCAATTCTCAAAGAATTGGAAATGGAGCTAAATCAGTTTTTATAAATGAAGCAAGTACGCTTCAAACTAATTCTCAGACTTTGAATTACATCCTCTTCAAAATTATACCCCAAGTATCAACACTTCACATACATTTAAGTGGCAACAGTAACAACGACAGAGGAAGTCTTACCAGCCATTCTTCAGATTTTCTTTCTTTGCACTCAGCCTGCAAAACAAGCAATGTCGATCACAGATCTGCCGCAGAGAAGGATTTGACACCCAATATATCAATCAATCTGAACAACAACAAACAAACAAAGACAGCAAATATAATACTGATTAGTCTTGAAACCAAAAAGAACCAGAAACCATAAGTCCATAAAAATCCTGTATACCCCTTTGCTCTAGTGGCATAACAAGGAGAACAGGCATCAACAATCAACAGTCCGCCAATCCATTAGCACATTCACTAGTAATTAGCAGCGCATCACCAGATCTACAACAGAATTCTGTCACACTAACCATATAATAGAAGGGAACCATAATCCAAACTGGAAGAACCACAAGCACAAGTAACCCACCTGAAAATTAATCAGCGACAAGTAAAATTGACGACGCAAGATCAAAGACATTGTTATATTTGCATCAGAAAAGGGGATTATGGAGGACTATAAAGTAAAAGATCGATTGATTGATTAGCTAAGCAACTCTATAAACTATTACTGGGCATGCAGAAATCTAAGATGCACCAAGGATAACATTTTACACAAAGTACCCCTAAAAACAGACCAATGTACTATTATCTTCCTCTCCTCTCACTTCTTCCCCTTCTTAGTTGCAGCGGTTTTCTTTGATATCGCTCCCTTTGGTTTCAAGCTTTTCACGGCTGCCTTCTTCACCGGTGTCTTCTTCGGCACAGGTTTTCGAGCCGCGGGCGGTTTTCTACCCGGTGTAGATCTTGTGCCCGTCCTTGCTACTTTAGCCGGTTTCGTTGGAGTCTTAGGCTTCGGTTTAGCCTTGGCAGCAGCAGCTTTAGGCTTTGCAGCTGGCTTTACTACGGCTTTTGGAGCCGATGCCTTCGGTTTAGCAGAAGGTTTGGCTTTCGCAGCCGGCTTAGGCTTTGCAGCTGACTTCGGCTTCGCTGCGGCTTTCGCCTTCGGAGCTGGCTTTGGCTTGGCAGCGGTGCTTTTCTTAGCAGGCGCTTTTTTCGCGACAGACTTAGGCTTGGCGGCGGGCTTCGGCTTAGCAGCAGACTTCTTCTTTGCGGGAGCAGCTGCTGCCGGAGCTTTAGATGCCGGTAGCTTGTAAGATGCCTTCACCTTAACCAGTTTACCAGCAGCGACGAATTTCTTCAATTGAGTCAACAACACCTTCTTAAAATTTGCCGGAAGATTCTTCTGCTTCTCTTCAATAAACTTCGTGATTGCATACTGGCTAGAACCAGTCCTCTCCTTCAACGTAACAATGGCTTCCTTGATCATCTATTAACATAATCAAACATTAATGACATAGATAAACTCGCATCAAAACGATACAAACACAAACTAGCGTACCAAAACAATGAATAGCAATCGTTTCCTACCTCAAAGTAAGGTGGGTGCAAAGAAGGATTTCTAGGCTTCCCCTTCGCTGATGTCTTCTTAGCTTTCTTCGGTTTTCCTTCAGCTTCCTGGATCTCAGGTTTTTCCTCCTGTGTCAGAGTCTCAGCTGTCTCGATCACCGGAGCTGCAGGCTCCGTCGCCACAATTGGTTCTTCCGTCGCCATCTCTCTAGGGTTAGGGTTTCAAATCAAGCCTCTTGAATCTAAAGAACAAATTTAGATCTAGGTATGCTAAAGAAATCGAGATCGATTACAGTGATTGGATTTAGCGTCTGAGTGACGAACATGAATTTGTGGGGATTTAAATAACACGGAGCTTGATGGGCCATATCTAAAAGCTGCAATTTGATTGGCTAATACAATGGTCACAAGGATCGAACACCTAACTAGAATTTAAATCTGAGCTGTCGGATCATTTCTCATCAACGGCCGACAACGACTTGTGGTGAAGGTAGTAATGAAGTTTGGATCAAATGTTATCATTTTGGTGTGTTTCTATGCCCAAAAGATGTGTGCATAACTTTAATCCTACTTGATAAATTTTCATGAAATTTTTTGGGTTTTGTAGGAAATTAAGTTAGCTTTCCAACGAATATTTTCTTGGACGCTGAAGCTTAGAGGATTGAGAGATATTTGATCGAGAAGGTTCAGTGGTCGAAAAGGAGGTCTATTTGGAGTTAATGATAGTTACAAGTGTTTTTAAGCCAATGCTTTGGTCCGATATGTGAGTTAAAGGTCGGGATTGATGCTATCTTAACTTAGGAGTCCATGGAATCAAGAATCATCAAAATCCGACAAGATTTGGACGTATAAATGTACGTCCAAATGTTACTAAAGATGAACAACTTTGATTATTATGATTAAGTAGTGTAATTTATTGGTATTTATCATGTTTTATTGATGGTCTGGTGTATTACGTACATTAATGTTCATGCACCTGTGCTTGACATCGTTAAGATTCGTGAAACCCGTGGTGTTAGTTTTCACTTTAAACTAAAAAGGTAATTTTCAGGTCTGATATAGTTATTTTCAGTCGTTTCTTTTACTTTATAAACATATCTGGATCACAAGTCCTTTATGGTAACAGTCAAATGACTGATTCGCTTTTTGGTGAGAAAAAATCAACTTATACAAGTTACCCAACATAGAAAGTATGGATTTTATGTGTTTACTGAATTTGATAAAATGATATCTATCAAATCTCATGGTTGAGATAGACTTATCGTTACATCTACTAGTTTATTAATCCTATACATTAAGCGGGCTCTTTATTTTATTTCTGGGTGTTGATTAAATAATATTATAACTGTAAAAATGATATGTTACGATCTCATAAATGAACAATTTTATTTTCAAGGGTCACTTTCTCGACGAATAACAAAACTGATCTCATTATATTTTCTTTCATTTCTTCTCAAGCAGGGATGGACACAGGAATTCCTTCATATGGTGACACCATATTAGACACTTCCACCTTCTAAAATAATACGGTTGTACCTTTTCACGAACCTAAATTTTTTTTTACCTTACAACAGGGATTTACCAGTGGCACGTGCCATCATAGACCCTTAACTGGGTATGTCCTTCTTCTCAAGCATGATCATAGGGTTGTTCAGTTGTTTTTTCATTATGACTTGTATGGATTTAGTTGTCTAAATGAATAAGACTAAATTGTTCTTCGATTGTTGTGTTGAATAAACAGTCTAAATGTCATAAATTACAAATTGCACCTCTTATTCCTAGATTAAATGTTGAATTAAAAAATTGCTTGGTAAGAAAAATAAAAAAAACTATTAATTTAACAATTTGATCTAACATAATGATACAAAGGCAATGGATACAGATATACAACTATGACGTGCTAGTTTACAAGATCGTGATATAATATAAAAAAGACAGTTGCACTTGGATTAGCAAGATATGTTAATTGAAGAGAAACGTTTTCATTATCCTCAACTAGTAATAGAATCTGATGAATATGATGGTTAGTCCATTCCCATTCTAGTTAGGAGGCTACTTCAACAAATGTGAAATGCCCAAATACCATTCTCTCTACCAAAATGATTGCTTACTCAAAACCTCACACAAACTTCTAATAGTTAATCAGAGATAGTTGAGGGATATACCAAGTAGCCCCATTACATGACAGCCATGGGTCTACAAGAACTCGTCAAGAGAAATCATATGCATTTGTCATCTTAAGAACATACAACCATCAAACCACATACCATGTAACCGATTCCAATTTTGAACTTCTCAAATCCAACAATTCCAACAATCTCATCAGCAACTTGTAAGTGTTTTCACAGTATCTTATAGCAAAAAGTTATCTATTCAATTCTTTAGCTTGAATATAAACAGAGAGTAGGGGTGCTAAAAAAAACCAACCAACCCGTCCAACCCAACCTGAAAAACCTCAAAAATACTCAACCTGAGGTAACCCTACACACAGCTGATATAAAATTAGGCCAACCTCATATTGGGTTAGAATTGGATTAGGGTAATTTGAACCCAACCTAATGAACCCGAGATATGATTGTTAAGTCACTGATTAATATTTATACATTAGAAATTAGATTAACCTGTAATTAACTATATTCAAAATTATATCACAATCTCAACCGTAATTTGACTTCTTAATTGCAAGAACTTTTCAACTTTTTTGAGTTTCTTAGCTTTTTGTTATATATTCTCATTTTGATTTTACTTCTTTTAAATAAAACGCTTAGTTAGATTTGTAAAATAATGTACCAAAGTTTCAATCCGATCAACCCAACCCATACAGTTTGGATTGGATTGGGTTGTAGTTTTGCTTGAGTTGGGTTGAGTTGAGATTTTTCAAACCACAAACATTGGGTTGAGCTGTTCAAATGCCTTCAATCCAGCCAACCCAAACCATTTGCAACCCTAAGAGAGAGCATTGATTAAACATGTGTTGGGTTGGATCAACAAAACTCAATATCGTTATATGTAGAAGCGAGAATTGAACTTTTGAATAGAGAAAGAAAGAACCCAAAAATCCTAATATGTTGCTTTAAGCAGAGAAAGCGTCGATTAAGCAAGGTTTGGGTTTGATTTATTTACTAAATGCTAATCCACAAATTTGAAAAGAGAAAGAACACCCGCAATCTAATCCACCTCTCTGTGGATGACGGAGGAAACAACAGTGAAGGAGGATAGCATAGATGGTGCTATTTGTGGAGGAATGGGGGCGATTTCATTGGTGCTGAGAGGATAATTAGATGGGGCAATTTCAGTGGTGAAAAGGGACGACATGAGGCATTTGTGAAAGAGAGAAGAGTAAGAGATGTATTTTTCATGGCTTAATGGATAGAAGAAAGATAAGTAGTTGAGCGAATAAGTCACTATTTACTGAATAAGCCAGCATCGAACACTCTTATATGCCCATTAACCAACGCCTTAAACAATAAAAATTAAGAAATTAGAACGTTCATAATAACATGTGACTTTTGAAGTACATAACATGACTTATGACTCTGTAAGTCATATTGTTTTTCTGAAACGTCAATATATATACACAACAACAAGTGCATCGAGTACGACTATGAACCAATATTGATGTTATATGATCCTGAACCATATTATTTTGGCCTACTTTTGGTCATTATCATGGTACACATAAAATACATCCATTTATACCCAAGAATTGTTTCTATCACGATCCAAATACAACAATTCTTCTTGTTAAATAGTCGAAATATTACAAGATGGCATGGCTAACTTAGTCTCATTGCTTTCTTATGTAGTGTTTGGTTGAATAGAGTTGGAAAAAAATGAAATGATTTGGATTATCCTCGTTAACAAAAATTTGTAAGAGCATCTCCACCAGACTTTTTAATATAAGGAATCAAAAGTCAAAATCTCCAAAGAAATTTATATTCATCTCCAACGGCTTCTTCATTTTAGAGATTACAATATTCAATATATTATTAAAATATTCAATACCTTTCATAAATCTTGTTTCTCTCTCCTACACATTTAATTTCAATAATTCTCATTGGTAAAAAAAAGAATAAAATAATTCTCTTTTATAGGTAACCATTTTTGGAGAATTCTCTAAATTTGGAGAATTTTATCATCTCTCTCCTACTTTCTCCATTTTGAAGAAAGTTTTGGGGAATCTGCTGGAAAAAAAATCCTTTAGGGTGGCGTTTGGTTCGCATACTGTTTTGGATGAAGTGGAATCTGTTAAAGAAATTTGACTTTGAAAGAATTGGAATGGAATGTTCTCAGGTTTGACCACCTGTTTGGTTGACAGACATTGCAATGGAATCTATTAAGGAATTGGAATATGTCTGTTTGTTTCATAGAATGTAATTTCAGAATTGGAATAAAATATTGGTAAATGACCAAAATGCCTTTTTGAAAATTTTAATTTTTTAAAACTAAAAGTACTTTAATAAAACAATTATTTAATATGTAAAACAATATAAAATACATAACCCAAATATAACTATAAGCCAAACAATGTTACTAAATCAACGGTGGTCGACGGTGGTTTAGATCGGTGGTGGTTCGCAGTGGTTCAAATTGATGGTGGTTCAAATGAAGGTGGTCGGCGGTGGAAGCGGTGGTTCAGATCGGTGGTTGTTCAAATCGACGATGTCCGACGATGTACAACGGTGATTCAGATTGATGGTAGTCATCGGTAGTCCAGATCGATGGTGGTCCATGGTGGTGGTTCAGATCGATGGTGATCCATGATGGTTTAAATGGTGATGGTCAACAATAGTTCATATCAGTGGTGGTCCATGGTGGTTCAGATGATGGTGATTCGCAGTGATTCAGATCGACGGTGGATCAGATCGGTGGTGGTTCAGATCTGCAGTGACCAGTGGTGATTCAGATCGACGGTGGTCGAAGGTGGTCGACGATGGTCATATTGGGTTTTATGATATTAGGGTATATTGGGTTAAGGGCATATTTGGCATTATGAAAATAGAGAATTCAATTCCATCATGTAACTTCAGGTCTTCAGTAAACTTGTCATTCATTACATTAGTCAGTTACATAACTTTTGTAGCCCAAATAATCTAAGTATTCATTAGAAGTTTGTCTATCATCAAATATAACATGTTGGGCTTAACACATCCATGCCAAGATGAACCGTAGACAAGCAAAGTCTATGGAGGGAGGTTTTGGCTATGGAATACAAGCCCAAAAATAGAGCGTAACAACCCTTAGCTTTTTGGTCAATTATATAACTTTCACAACCCAAATAATCTAAGTGTTCATAGAGGTTTGTCTATCATCAA